AAGTTTAATCGCAAGTAAGGTTCGAATGACAATTTCTCGCAAGTTTTGATCCAGAACTGAATGCAAGTCCCAATATCCGGGGTGACACTTCGACGTGTCAGTGTTATATTTCATTTTGCTGCGAATTTGTTGCGCCAATGAGACACAACTAACTCAGAAAATATAACAATTAACTTAAAATTAATGTTGAAATATTCCCAGGTTTTAAATTATATTCCCCAGCCATGCATGGAATAATACTTGTATTCAAATTCGCGCAGCAATCAAATTCGCGCAGAGGATAGGAGCCATAGGCATAGGCGCAAGAAATTAAACATGAGCGGAAAATAATCTGTGCGAAAATTTTTTGCTGCCGTAGGCATGCACATGAGACAATTTGTCGTCTGTAAACGTTTGCCACGATGCAGAACTGAATATTGATAGTTAGAAAATCACTTTACAAATTATTTTATACGACATTAGAGTTTAGTTTCTAGATCATGCGGGAAACATAGCTACAGTAATATATATCGCTTTTGTGGATCGTGAGTGCACAAAGGTCGCAAAGGGTTATGTTATGTTTATCAAATGGCATGTCATGTTGACTGCAGCGATCGAAATTTGATCAGTTCGTAATGATCAAAATAGGGTTTATTCGTTAGTATAACTCGGCGTATAAAACATATCTGTTTGTTCAAACTAAACTTTGCGTTTAATAGCGAAGCATACTTACTCTGCGCTATGGCAAATTCCATAATAGGGCTAAAACATTGACGTTGGGCTAAAGCAAGTTAATTGTGATTCGTATGTGTAATGGTAAGTATTTGATTCTGTTGCTAAAAAATTGTGAACAAATTATAGAGTCAAAAAATTGACCCTCGACATTTTTTTCGACCCTCGACATTTTTTTCGACCCTCGACATTCTACCCTCGCCCTCGACCTATTACCCTCGACCCTCGACCATTAGTCAAACTCGCATCAGTTGCATGATTAGTGTTTGCTGCACTGTTGGAGGTAAACATGCACAGCTTGAGGTTTTTTACCATGTGTTACGGATCGTGAAGTACATTCACGATCTGTGTTGCATCGTAATTGTTTGACCATGTGTTACGGATCGTGAACTATATTTACGATCGGTGTTGCATCGTGATTGTTTCACCATGTGTTACGGATCGTGAACTATATTCACGATCCGTGTCGCATCGTGATATTGGACATGTATGATATTGGGGGAGTGGCTTATATGTTTATGGTAATTGCTTGATTGCAATGTGTATTGAATGGTTTGAACCCGATGTCTTTGGCCTAGCCACCTAGCTAGCAAAGTATTTGTTCACTTGTCTACATGTCATGTAAGTGAGATTTCATATAACTACACAGTAATTATAAACAACTGCTGGCAAGAACCTGGCAAGGATATCACTCAAAGTTTGTCAAGGAAAATTTAATATACTAAAATACTAAATAAATACAAGTGTGCAGACACTACAGCAAGGACTTTGAAATCATATTAACCAGCCATGAAACCCTACGCAAATATCGCTATAGCAGTAGTAGTACCAAATCAAAAGGACAATAAAATGTACAGAATTGCCAACCATTTACAGGTTGTTATGTCTGCTAATAATTTGCTGTTCATATACTTTTATGTTCGTAGTATTATAAACTTTGTAGTTTGTACTTCTGCTTCAAATTTTCTACAATATATAAAAATCTTACCGGTGAATAAAAAGATTCTTCTTGTACATCTCATACATCTACGAGCGGCGCAAAAAGGCAGGATCCTCGACACTGTATTAATCAACCAAGTTATAGGAGAAAAATATCAAGATTTTCAGTGCGATTTTTACCTCAAAAACAAGCGAAATCATAAAATATCTGTGCTGAAACCAGGGGGGTGAAGTAGATTGTCGAAAACTTAGGATCGCGGTTGGGACAGTGGTAGTTGCCATGAATTTAGGGACCAGTAGTCATGGCAATGGCGTCAGATCCGCCATGTTTTTGGCTTCACTTTTTTTTCCCGAGCAGGTCCTCCAGTAATATAGTATAGCTCAGTGACCGAAACACGCACAGTGACCTACCCCCGCGATATTTGATGAACTTCAGACTTCCCTAATGCTTTCGTTTCCCCGGGTGTAAATAGCCGGGGGGAATTAGTACCCTCGCACGGCGCTTCGCGCCGCCGGCTCGGGGATTATTCAATAACATTATGATAAAAAACAACGTACCTTGCCGCAGCCGTAAAACCAACAGCCAACAATGGAAGTTTAAACTTTATAGCTGATTGATCGAGATTTCTTTGCCTTTTTATAAATAAAACACTCGCGTAGTTTCAATTAAAAAATATATTCTGAAAAGACAATGCCAGAAAAGCACACAAAAGCACACTGTCGTTGCTAGTTCCCAGGCTCTTGAAACGCGACTTTCCAATTCTTTCAAAATTCTGCGCTCTTTTTGAAAAATAGGGTGTACGAAGCAAATGCGAAAATACCTTCATCACATTCCGAAATTGTAAAAATTCAGTACCATGTAGAGAAATGTTTGTTATTCATGAAAAAAGTGCCATAAAATTAAGAAGACCTACCAAAGTTGATTAAATACCAAAAATGTAAAATCGTTTAGTGGCACAAAAATAAAGACATTTCTAACATTATTTTAACAGTTTTGTGTTTGTCGAAAGATATACCCTCATGTCAGAGTCGAATAGTGCCTTTACACCTTTTAATTTCCAAGATAATTTTTTTTCAGGTTACAAAAAGGAATTTTTAGGTTACAAAAAGGACGATGTCCTTTTTGTAACCTGATTTTTTTGCTTAAAAACGTAAAAAATTCAAAAACGAAAAAAGCTGGCGCTTATCAAAGATCTTGGTGGCAAAAATATGTTGTAAGAGTGTATCCATGCAAAATATCAAGCGGCACAAGGCAAAACTGACAATTTTATTCAAAAATTACCTTTATAATTTTTTTGCGCAACTTTTTGGAAGCAAATTTAGCGCAGCAAACCCTGTTCAAGGTATATACATCTCACAGACATAAACTTTGCTCTATAACTTTTTTCCCGACTTTGTGGGATACACGAGGGTCTTCTAAGCATGCTGAGGTTACTTTTAAGCTTTCAAACGCGCTTGTCCCGGTCAAAAAAGAGTAAAATTTGACAGTTTACACACACATTTTCCTTTATGTAACCTGGGGGATGCTTTTGTAGAAAAAAATCATTAAAGTAAAAACTTGCAGACTATGCCAAGATAATATGATAAAAAGCACTATATTTGTAACAGTCTACGATACTTTTCTGAACATTTAACAATTTTCATGCAAAATTCCAGCTCATCCATTATAGGTTACTTAAAGTACTGTTGCTTCATCCAAGAATGAATGAATGAATGAATGCAATTAGCTCTGAGACAACCAATTCAATTAACAGTTCAGCATGGCCTTTCTTCTGTGCATTTCATATCTCTAAAGTGGCACTCAGTCCTTCATGTTTTTACGCTGGAAGGCTTATAACCTTCCATCTTAAAGTTTATTTAAGATTGTTTTCAATCTTGGGGAAATTAACTTTCCAAAACAAATCTTTCGTAAGTGGGATAGATGAGATTTCATCAATATTTCTGATATACATGTTTTGTAAATGTGCCGAATGTACACTGATCGAGATAAGCCCAAACAATGACAACTTTGGATAATTATTTCACGTATTATTAGCTATTGCAAATTTTAAGAAATAGAATAATTTTGTCGCTACCTTTGCATTTTCTTCCATCTCCGGTGAAATCTGACTTGCATTGACAGGTATAGGAACCCATCATATCAGTACAGCGAGCATCAGCATGGCAATTATCAATTCCCAGAGAACACTCGTCAATATCTAAATAAGAGATTTAGTAATTTACCAGCAACCAGCTGGTCCTCTATCAAGCTTAACAATTCTGAATATATTTATCCTGCTGAGTTATATCTACGATAATGTATTTAATTTCTTTTCCAGGAAATCAATTTGGCAAGTCAGTATGATGACTATGATCTGAAATTTTGAATATTTGGCGGGCAGCTTCTATATCGATATTGTCTTCCAGCATCACCCAGAGGAATTGTCTAACTTTGTTAAAATTGATTTAAATTTCCACACATTTCCATTATTGAAATTTTGCTGAATTCTATTTAAGTTCCAGCGAAATTAAAAGCATCTCTAAAATTTTGAATTGTAAAGGTCTGGAGTCAACCAAGGAAATAATCGCATATTCGTATTCTCCTGACACAATCAGTAATTTCGAAATGTAAATGATAAAGACATTCAGAACATTTTTGTGATTTTAATTTGCACACTTAATCTAACAACAAGCAGTTTGTTGGATAAATTATTTGCATTATACTAAAATATTCAAATATAATATAGTTTTTTGCTCAACTCTGTTCACATGTCTTCCTAATGACGAAATCCGACGAAGGAAATAATCGTCCTCCCCCAAGATAAACAATATTTCGTTATGGATATAAAGAAATGCTGGAAATGTTAGACTGATTAAAAGCGCTCTACTGCGAAAGGCATACATGCACTAAAATTCCAATTCTTATGAACATTTCATAGTTAAAGTTAATAAAGATATTTCTCATACTTTGGCAATTTACGCCATCTCCGCTGAAACCTTCACGGCACACACAGGTAAAAGAACCAGTTGTATTGGTACAATTCGCATGAGCATGGCAATTATGTGATGCATCAGCACATTCGTCAATATCTAAAAATAACATATCATATATTTCATAATTCATAAGTATATCAATATAATGGTCTACCCCTTGATTTTCCGATTGGAAGGTCGTAATAAAAAAATACTAAAAAACCTACAAATTAAACCAATTTCTTGGATATTCTTCACCCTTTTCCACCATTTTAACTTCGCTAACCCCGTGAAATACCAAGCACATTACAATATATTTATGATCCGCTTTAAATTCTCAAATGTTAAAACAGCATGTGAGTTATACCACGACTCTGACCTTATCATGCAGCTAGAAAAACACCAGAAAATGGAGTAAAAAGAATGTTGATGAACGTTTTTCAAAGTACAGTAAAATATCAAATTTGCAAGATTTTTGCTAACAGATTCGAAGTAGACTAAGCTGCATATACTGTACAGTATTCGAAATAACGTGTCGGCTAATTTATGGAGTGGCAATTTGATATTTATTAACGTGAAAATAGTGATATAATCATGTTCTACAGGTTTTCAATATTTCAAGAAAATTGATTTCAACTCGGGTTCGAAACTGGCCATAATGCTATAACCATTGATAATATTTTTTCTGCGAGTATCAATTGAATGAAAATTATTCTCTCAGAGAACTGTCGGCAGTAGATCATCATGCGCAGCATCACATGCATGGCACACTAAAACTCACTTATATGAGAAAGGCTTGGTCATGGCCGGGAAATGATATAGTAAAACAAACGCTGCAAAAGAATATTTTCCATTAAATCGCTACATAGATATTTAAAATACAGTCCATTTGAATCTTGCAAAAGCAGAGGAAAAAGGCTGATAAAGATAATGGCTGATGCTTAATGTAAGGTTCTGTACAATGTTTTATGGCACTATCCATCACTGCGAAACCATGACATATTTCGTACATCTTCAGAATGGATATTGGTAAAGAAAATCAGTTTTTCTCCTACCTTCACAATCTACGCCATTTCCAGTGAACAGGGCCGTCCCCAGGAAATTTTTCAGGGGGGTGTTAACCGACTGACGAACGAGTTTCCACCGACCACCTGCTAGCCATGGAAGCTTGTGGAATTTCCGATGGAGGTCAACTACGAAGCCATTTTTGGATTAAGAGGGCTATAGCGAACGTCGAAGGCGTGAGGTTGTCAGGGGGGTCCGGGAGGATGTCCCCCGGGAAATTTTGAAATCTGAGACCTCCCAGAGCCCCGGAAATGCAATTAAATTTACTAGTTGCTGTTATAAAGTTTCTTAATAGACGACTCCTAGGCCCCAGTTACACGATACCAGATTCGCATCGGAGCGACATCAAATTTTCCTCGAGGTGAATTTGGCACTAAAAATTCTGATAATATAACATAATTAAACAAAAACTTCATATATGAAAAGTTGTAATAGCAGACAAGACTGAAAAACACCTTAAACTGATGTCGCTTCGATACGAATCCGGTATCTTGTCACTGGGGCCTTAATCTAACATTTTTTTAAATCCCACCAGAAATAAATTGAATACTTATACTAATAAGTTATAAATATATTGTTAACTGATCTGCAAGATTCCGAGTATTCTTAGTCTATAAAAATTACATATCTGTGAAAATTGTTGCCCCCCACCTACTCCGCGGTCCCTGAAGTTACGCCCGTTGTGCTCTAAATAAAGCCTGTTCTAAAGGCAGTTTTTTAGTCCTCGCACGAGGCTCCTCGTAGCTCGCTGCGAGTGCTTGCATCTAATTAAAATGAACTGTTTAGCATTGTGATTCGATGAAAGTGCTCATGCATCACTCACAGCGAGTTGCGCGGTGCTTCGTGCGAGGACTGGAAATCCGCCTTAAATCGCCATATTTTATAATTGAGTTTTAGGCAGCAATATATTGTGTTCAGCTGTTCTACCTATCAAACATGCTACATATACTTTGTATCGCTATGTGGTTTGACTGCCAATCTGGGCTTGTTAAACTAACCGATTATAATGATTATCCTGCTGAGTAAATTTCGAGTAACCAACATTTACGTTCCTTATATAACAGGTGAAAATCATATCGGTATTAGTTTTATTCGTCAAAAATATTTTTGTCTGTCGACTGAAATAGCAGTCCCGCCGACTGAAGCTTGGAATATAATTTCTGGGGGGTGTCCCCCCGTAGCTCCGGCCCTACCAGTGAAATCTTCATTGCTTTGACACGTGTAGGAACTATTTGTATTGGTACAAGTCGCATTATCATGACAATCGTCGCTTCGCAAAGCACAATCGTTAATATCTAAATGAGGATATATTCATAACAAACATATATAGAAACTTATAATGATTTTTACCATTAAAGATATTTTTTTATTTTCACTATGTAAATATAAACTTAGAATCTATTTTCTTGGAAAGTATTGATTCAGTTTCCAACTTTTTCTACACGTTATCGGGAGTCAGGACTCCTTTCTCGATCTTTTAAAATTTATTTGATATAGAACTATATTGTCAATTTGTACCATTAAAGATATATTTTTTTATTTTTCACTATGTAAATATAAACTTAGAATCGATTTTCTTGGAAAGTATTGATTCAGTTTCCAACTTTTTCTATACGTTATCGGGAGTCAGGACTCCTTTCTCAATCTTTTAAAATTTATTTGATATAGAACTATATTGTCAATTTTCATAATTTTTTCGTCCTTTATTTGGTTCCCTGATATTTATATAGCCCTGTGGTTATTTTAGGGAGCCAGCTCCCTTTCACATCTTCTCAAAAATTAGAAAACAATTAGTCACAGAACACAAAATATATCTTGCTAATAATAATAATGCTAACAAATATAAATAATTTCTTGGTGTACATATAATTGAAATTTGAAAGGGGCAAATAAATCTTGTCCTGTCCTGTCCTGTCCTGCCCTGTCCTGTCCTGTCCTGCCCTGTCCTGTCCTGTCTTGTCTTGTCTTGTCTTGTCTTGTCTTGCCTTGTTGGCAGTGAGTACACTTGACTTTTGAAACTCTTGAAATTAAACTACACTGTACCGCCAAACTAAATCTCATATAAAGAAAGATAAAATACTTAAAATCAAGATACACGGCGGTAATTGATACACAGTGGCAGAAAATCAAAATACATAGCGATAATTTGAACTATGATTTGAAGAAGAATTGTTTCGCTAATTCGCAGACCAGGGGCGTAGGAACCGGAGGGCCAAAGTGGTCAGGCCCCCCAAGTTTTCCAAAGTGCCCTTTTTCCGGGAGCAAAGTGCCCTTTTCTTGCGTGAAAAATGTCATTAAGGTGGCATCTTTTGCCAAAAGGGCACTTGAATTTATGTTATTTCCGGAATATTTTTTTAATTTCCGGGAAAATATCATATATTCGGAAATTTTTTTGGTATATCCGGAAAATTTCATATTTTGGAAAAAATGTGATATATGCGGAAAATTTTTGGTATGTCCAGAAAATTTTTTTGAGATGACCTACCCCCCACCCGTCGCCAACATTTCCGGGAAAAAATTTATAGATGCCCTTTCTATTTGAAAAACCCCTCAAAGCCTGCCCCCAACTTTTAGAAGCTTCCTACGCCCCTGTCGCAGACTGATAAAACATGTGTTTTGAAGTATGCGACGCAGGCTACATTCTCCTGGCCTAGGGCAAGGTGTTGATTAGTTGAGCCAAATTGAAACCTTTGAAGTGCAAGTCAACTAACATATTCTTGCGTACTACTAACATACAAATATATTTTCAGCCAGATGGCATCCTTGCATCACTGATCTACTTCCCAGTTTTTTTCAGGAAATTGTAAAGTCGAACAATGTCACATTTTAAAGTTGTCTCTTTAATATAATAGTTAATATACACTGCCTATGTTAGTTTTGACCAATTTAAATTGTGAAATTGCTACCTAGTAAACGTAACGGGGTACAGTACCTTGGCAGTATGTACCATTGCCTTTGAAACTATCATTGCAGGAGCAGTTGTACGATCCAATAGTATTTGCACAATTGGCATTGTCATGACAATCATTTTCACCATCACACTCGTCAATTTCTGCGGTAGAAAACATAAAAACAATATTGGTAACAGAAACCTTTTGACTTCTCAATTATACTACCAGAGATATAGGTGGAAATGCCACCTAATGCTCGTTTGCGTGTAGTCACTTTCGTGGGAATAAAAAACAGCCCTATAAATAAAATATTCTGCTTCATTTCAGAAATTGGGAACTCTTCGCATAAAATGAAACGTGGAATTACTGTAAGCCTCATGAAGAATGAATGATAAAAGATCAACGAGCCATATTGCAAAATTTTATTAGTTGTATTATTAGATTTGTAATACAATGTGTCAATTTTACGAAGAAGAAAAACTACATCACCTTCACAAACATATCCGTCGCCACTGAAACCGTTATAACAGGCACAGTTGTAACCTCCTCTTGTATTTGTACATGTTGCGTTGCCATCACAGTCATGCGTATCACGATCGCACTCATCGATATCTAAATATTTCATTGCGCTTTGTAATGTTTGTAAGTTTCCCGCAGCCAGATACAGCTAAATCAATTCAGAATGTTCTCTAAAAAGCGGAAAACGTCGAAACACGAAAAGCAAGAAAAACATAAAGGACGTGTTTGTTATGATGAGATTGATATTGCATGCATGTTAGCACATTTATGCTAAACAAGTGATTTAATTCCTGAAGGACTTAAGCTGGTCCTACAAAAAAGTTAAAACGTTTGAAATTCCAATGAATTCTGACGGGTATGCCATGGAATTGGGTTAGATGAACAAATAAACTCCGAAAAAGTTTAAAAGGACGGGAATTCGTATATTATAAATCAGCGTTTTATTGCAGTTGAGAACACTATACTGGGCCTTCGCAGAACCTGTCATTGACATATAAACAAACAAATAAACAATACAAATACATCCGCTATACCTTGGCAGTGTTTACCATTGCCTTCGAATCCACCATTACAAGAGCAGTTGTACGATCCAACAGTATTTGTACAATTGGCATTTTCATGACAATCATTTTCAACAGCACACTCGTCAATTTCTGCAATTAAAAAAAAATATATAAATTTTAAAAATTGGAAACAGAAATTGTTAGACGTTCTATAGCCTACTAGCAGAAATAGGTGCCAAAGTTAACTAACACTCGACTGCATGTGTAACTTTAGCGGGATTCGCAACATGCGTTATCTATCTGCTGTACTGTCCGCATCCACTTATAACTTCAAAATTATAACTACATGTATAGACTATGGTTGGCTCGAAATTTATGCTGTTCATGACAACTAGACTATACCAGAGATAGGTGGCATAACGCTCGCCTGCATGTAGTTACTTTAACGCGGGTTTAAACGGGAAAACACATTGTCTTTTAACAGTACGCCCTGTTTCTTTTGCGCTACCATGCACTTCTATCAGCTACTTCAAACCGTAACCCGAGCTACTTTATCCACACCAGTATCCACCCTGATTACATAACTCAAAGTCAGCTGCAAGTCAAAGTTATTCGTCTGTAAAACGTTTTTTTAAATTAAAAGACACAGATGGAAATCAAATGCATGTTACTGGTTAGCATTGATTTGCATATACTTACGAGTATCTCGGCTTAACAATGGATAAATACCTGAACTACTCGGAGCATCTGAACAAAACATTGAAACTTTGAACAAAACATTGAAACATTGAACTCTTTATAATGGCAGGCTGAACACTTCATTAGGTAGTTACATAGTACCTAATAACTAATTGTAAATATGCTGGAAAGAATTGTTTCTATTTCAAAGAACACTTAGGCCTGGAAATTTGTCCGAGCATGCGCGAGCAAAATGAGCCACGCAATTGCGTGGAATGGACGCCGCCCAATGTTTGGTACAAAATAAATTACTGTTTTATGTTGAAAATGGCATGATCTAAATTAATCATACAGAATTTTTTAGTGATGTTATATTTCAGTACTCTGCCATTGTCCCTGGTGTGCTGTCCGTGTGCATTCGATCTGAAACAGTTGCTATTTGCTGTCGAAACATTTCGAAACATTTACTTGAAAATAGAGACAAGTCATGCCATTTTACAAGCTCGTAAATTATGTACGCCCCTATTTTTCGCTTATACCACTGGAAAAAAAAGTGAAATCCAATATACTACGAAATTTGCAACTGCACCACTAAATCCATAGTATATCCATACTATTTCCATAATATATCCATACCATGGAAATATACAATAATTATGGGTAACCAAAATCCATTCTATTTCCAATAAGGGCCACACAATTTCCATTCTATGACCTTCTATGGATTTTCATAATATTTTCCAGTGTACCTAAGATATCAAATAAAAATACATGAAACAGACAACCTTTTTAGAAAGATTTATCGTGACGCCACGGCCAGTTTTTAAAATATCTTTATTTCTGTTCGGGTCATCACCAAAATTACACTGAAGCCGCCAGCCGGGCTTGAAAATAGAACAATTTTTGAATCTCACCAAGTACAAAAATATTTAACATGTAACCAAAATATGCTCATGAAATCGAAATTAATAACTAAATTTTCAAACTAGACCCTTCTCGAAGCGGTTTTCATGAAGGAAATTCACATTTCGGCCTTTGATTCTTGGCAAAAATTTGGCCACAACACGTGCGAACTAACTGGGTTACAAAGACTTAGCTAAAACATTGTGAGCCCCTATTTTCCTGACGATAAGTTTGATACCTATAAACGCCAAAAAGTTTTTCTTTTCATTTAGCTATATTTCAAATTGAGGCCACGGGCTATTTTTAAAAAAATACAGTTCATAGTCAAGCTATTTTTATATATTTTCAAAATTTGTCAAATTTCGCGAGCTTGTATTTTGAATTTAGACCACTGAAGTTACATTAACAAATATAGAATGGGAAATTTGAGGCGTATAAAATTAATTCTATTTCGTCATCAGTTACGTCACTAGGGAGTCACATGAGATATGCATGCGCAGATCGAGTATTCACTTTTGCACGTGTCGTTCAAAGTATTCAGTTGCAAGTTTTATTCATGGAGAATTTCGATACAGAAAAACCGACTACCGAAGTATCGCCCGGTCAAAGTGAGGAAGACGACCTCTTTTTCGAAGTGGACATCGACGGATCCAACGAGAATGACGACTTACCGGCGAAATCAAGCAGTTTTCTACGGCAGTTAAACCAGTCCTTACATACAATGGTTGGCTCAATCATAGTAAAGTCGCTGAAACGTCTCCACGAAGACAAGACACCTCCCGCGAAACGAAAGAAACCTCGCCTGGCTACAGAGACATCTGGACTTGAGGAAGTAGAAGAAAACCAGAGCAGCGACGAAGATACGCGGGCACTTTGTGGCCCATCAAATGCCGACACGGCAGAAAGCTCTCAAACCACTAACGCTGGACTCGAGCAAGACACTGTCACTGACAATTGCAATGACTCATTGCTGTCAGAAATTGAAAATGGTTTCTCTCAGGAGGACGATATGGGCCCGGCTATCACAGAGAAACTCGCTACCATAATCAATAAGCGTTGGTCTGAAAAAACTGAGCGATCAAAAGCTGAAAGAAAAGCGGGATCAATACCCCCGCCCAGACAACTGTGACAGACTTGTGGCGCCACGCATTAACCCAGAAATCTGGGCGAGAAAAGACCACACTAGTAGTATAGGAACTGCCGAAGCGAGACCACTCATTTCGGAGCGAGATCACTAATTTTTGCCTTCGGCAAAAACAAGTGGTCCCGCTCCTCAATGAGTGTTCCCGACTTCAGCAGTTTCACGGTCCATTTATTTTGGAATGTGAAACTGCTATTCTGAGGTCTGTCCGAAATGTTTTTCATTTAACTTATCTCAGAGCTTCGGGATCACCTTATCAGTCCAGAGCTGAGACTTTAGTGCGATTATCTTAGGTGTGATTCTAGATTTTCCAATATCGTCCAATTTTCCTATTCCGAAGCCTCTTCGACAACTTTTATTTTCTCCTTGGGGGTACATAAGGCAAGGGCCCTTCCTGCTTATTTACCCTTTAGGATTATTACTTTCTACTCTGTGGGAACTTCTCAGTCACTATTTTTTATATTCTTGTTACCATAAGCATAACTGGTAACTCCAGCCTCCAAAAGATACCTTTTATCTCATTTCCTCATTTCATAAGTTCCGATTGTATGCTTCGTGCTCCTGATTGTATTCATGTTGTGTCTCATCCTACCCTTCGTGTTGATTACATTCTTGAAGTTATCATGAGTGAGCTTGTTTCTGATGACATACTTTTTAACTCCTTTGGCAGTCATTCCACCCCCACCGTTTTCCTTGACATAGGAGTACATCTTTGACCTTAACCCAACAAACTCAAGTATGGGTACTCCTCCAGCTTCATCCTTAAACTTACCTATAACCTTCTTGTTGTGGGTTGAGTAGTAGGGACTGTCTTTTGGGTAATCTGAATTATCCCAGCAGTCTTGCTCTTCGCCAATCCTCTTGAAGTCCTCATAGACATCATTCGTCTTCAGTTCGTACATCACACTGTCAGTATCGGTGAACAGTAACATCGAACTATTACCGTACTCCTTCTTAATGGTGTTGTAGTGGAAATCGTACATCAGAGTCTTGGATAAATCTAAGATGCTCATTCCCACATAACACGGCTTATTCAGCGTTAGCACTTCTTTCATCCTTTTTACCACTATAAGATTCTCATTCATGATTCGATGTGACTGGAAGCACGGTGATGCTGTCAGTTTTAGGAGGTCGTCTTTGGAGGACACTAATTTCACATCAACCCTTTTCCTAAGATTCTCCATAGTCTTTCCGTAGATCGAGTTGTTCATCAACTTGAAGAAGTTCTTTTCGAACGTGTTACGGGCTACTGACCTTTTCTTCGTATTGAAGTCTATATAGTCCTTAAGCCAGGGAGACTGCTTGAATGTAACCGCTCTATGAACGTTCGTGAGTTTCATCCCAAGGTCTGTGTACAGTTTCAGATTACGTACATGTAAGACGTACTTCTTCCTGGGGCCTAGTGAAGTCACTAGTTTTCTTACTCCTCCAATTGTCAGTTGGAATTTCTCAGCAATACTCTTCGCACAATCTGACAACATAGAAGCACTGATTTCCTTACTCTCCGGTGCTAGAGGATAACCGTTGTGTAGGTCGTGAAGTTCTTGTGGATATTCCAGGTCAACCTCCAAAAACATTCCCCTTCCGTTGTCTCCCAAGTAATCCTCTAGATTCATGCCGTCAACTTCCTTAACCCACTCAAACTCTCCGTTAGGTAGTGGTTGTGACATCGCCCAGCCATATAAATTATTAGCGTCGAGGTACATCAGGTACTTGTTCTCAGACAACTCATCGTACGTCTCCATGTACTTATTATTAGCTGCGGAGTGTCTATGAGCAATATAACTTGTACCACCTCTCATACCCTTCTCGAAGAACTGGAACATATCCATATCGCTTACGAGTTCTATTTCTTCACCTGACTTTTTCAGGAAAGCGTCCCAACTCAGACTAGGTGCTGACACGTAATGTGCGGGGTCAAGTTCATAACTTTCCAGACATGTTCTCCTGAAGTTCTCAAACACATCGGCCAGCAGAAGAACGTCAGTCTCCAAGTAGAGGTCGTGGTAGTCTCTCATGGTTTTCATCTTGAAGTGATCCCATACTTTCTGAGCTCTCTGGTAATCTTCCTCCTTCACCTCTGACTCATACAGTGACGAGTAGAACTTATCCTTGCTCGGAAGACCTTCTGTATTGAGTTTGCTAATATCATCTAGGAACTCATATGGGAACACTCCTTTTTGTGTCACTAGATTGAAGTCCTCACCCTTCCACCTCTTACCTACTATCCTGAAGTCCTCAGGCGAAAGGTTACTTACCAGTGCTTCCAGTGAAGAAGCCATGAACTGTATAGGGTCTATGAAGACCAGATTCTTACCCAGTGAGAATGAGATGTATTTTTCCATATTATTTGGGATCACATTAACATCCATCTTGAACTTACCAATTTCCTGCATAATCAGATGACTATCGTAACCTCTCAGGTTGTGGAAGACCACAGATACTTTCCATGTAATTCTGTACTTAAGATTACATATATTGTGAGCAGCTCCGCGGTACTTACCTGTTACATGGTCATGGTCTCTCACACGGTCCTCACATAGATCGTTACCACATATGTGGCAGTTTCTTGTAACCAGGAATTCTGCTTCCTCTTTGGGTGTAATTACCATTTTCTTCCTGAATATTTTGTCAGTCATTTCCCTACATCTGAAGGACTCTTTTACTACAGTCTTTAGGAAGACCAATGCAGCGTCACTTCCAACGTAACTCTTATACTCACCGGAGTACTTATCATCATAGTGGCAGACTGTTTTCAAACCAAAGCTACAAGCCTTGTGTGTCTGGTAAAGGTCCGTACTACTTTTATCCTCAGGGTTCTCTGACTTCTCTTTTCTCTCCTCTGGTACTAGTATGGACTCAAAATCAGCGTATATCACAAACGGCACAGGCATTGAGTTCCTATGATTTTTGAACTTTATTTTTGTCCCTTCCTTGGGAAGCTTTACAGCCTGAGTTCCATTTACCTCCAGACATGTTTCCTTATGCTTCTCCAGTACCTCCTCGCTAACGCAACTATGAAGACAGTGTAAGCATAAGTGTTGCTTGTGTCCATGTTTACTTACACTACACAGCATTCTGTTTACATCCTTTATAAGCACGTAATGTCACCATCACCCAGGAGTAGAAGCTCCATATGCTCATCATATGTAGCCTTTGAGATCCTTATGGGGTAGAACTGCTTTTTACCCTTATAACCGAACACTGATATGTTGATACTATTTTTCCTCTCAATCTTATCAATATCGCTTATCGTCACAGGGAATCAATACCTTCATAATCCAGGTTCATTTTGAATTCCCTGTCCTTTTGGGTAATAGTGGTTGCCCTCCTAGCCCTAGGATTTAGATGTCTTACATGACACCACATAAAGCACATGTCGTCATCATTCTTCATATTAATGAGTCCACACATTAAATTACTAATGTCCTTAGGAAGTTCCATGTATGAACTCCCAGCTAGTGGTTTGTACATTGCAATGTTCACATAATGACTCTCAATATTGAGTATAATCCAATTTGAACCTAGTTTTTGGAAGGTTTCAATTCTAGACAGTATTGTCAGTTGGTTTTGAGCAGCTGTACTTTCAATGTCCTCGAAGTTAGTTGCAGTACCAGTCTTAGATTTGAAGTAGACTGAGTCCTTTTTGGTTTTTCCGTCACGAACTTCCTTGGACATTCTCACCTTCAGAGTCTCTGTGTACTTCAACCCACCCATTCTCTTCAACTCGTTCACAAGTATTCCTCTCACTACCTGTCTACTTGCAGTCATCTGATCCAGAGGGTCCATATAATGAGGAGTTATCGAGTAAGTCACGGCGGCTCCATTTGCGGCTGTTTCGATTTTCCTGTGGAATGGCTTTTCAAGGTCTGTTCCAAATGGATCGATTTCTTGTTCCTGTGGTGTAACCACTATAGGCTGCTCCTTGACTTCCCTCGACACCCTTACAGGCTTACGGACCTTAGGAGGAGACACTGGTTTCCTAGTCCTAGGTTTCGGTACAGGTCTTTCCTTAGGAAGCTTAGTTCTAGGTTTCGGTACAGGTCTTTCCCTAGGAAGTACCGTTCTAGGCTTAGGTATCGGTCTCCACGGAACTACACCCTCAGCACCTCAGGAGCTTTCCTCACAGGTCTCTTATTAAGATCCACGTGAACTGTGAACTTACCTGGACCTGTTGGAGTTATGACACTATCTGCAGGCACTGAGAGTTTTACCTTCCTCTGATTCAGGAATCTTTCTGCTACAGTTTGCCTCCTAACCTTAACATCAGTCTTTGCCTTTCGTGGTCTGCCCTCTTCTTTGGCACCTTCACTTCAGCATCAACCTTAGGCCGTGGGATGAGCATCCAAAAGATGCTTAGAAAACGGATTCCGTTGCACCCCTCGTGGAACTACGTAATTTTCACATGAATAAATAGATAAAAACTTACTTTATCAGAATCCGTTGCTCCCCAAGCGAAACAGGTGCACAATTGGGAGAAAAATCCCTCCAAAGTTTGATATTTTCGCGCTTGGAAATATTCGAACCGCCATTGTTTTGATAGCAAATACGCATGCGCAACTCAGCCAAACTCGCACTGCGCACGCGCACAACCAACGCACATGCTTCGAAGTGGAAACACGCTCAGTTATGCAAATAAACATGGCTGAAGATATTTATAAAACTCGAATATCCTCATGTTTTATGCATTTTGATGGCGTTGCGGAGCAACTTCGCAAAGTTACACGCCAAAGGCTTAAGAAATTTCTTGAGTGTAGGTCAAAATGGGCCAAACTTAAGTGTCAACAAGCTGAAATAGCTAAGAAATCGTACGAGAACATCGATGACGGATCTGTCAATTCATACATCGAGAAGAACTCTGACACCATTAACTTCGAATGGAACCATCATATGAAATGCTAGAAGAGATTTTGCGATGAACCGAAGATCCGTAGATAACAGAAAAAAGAAGAAAAAGGAGAAGGAACTAGCTCTAAAACTATAACTTCTACCGAAGAATCACACGTGGAAGTGGAGGCAATAGAACCAAGGCGAAAAATTACACGTCAATCAGTCGCAGAAGCTATAAATATAAAGGCCCTGCCTAAAAGAAACACGCATGTACTCCCAGAGATATGTATTATTTGTGGAAGAGACGCCTCGTGGTTTTCACTAGACAAGGTATGGTCATTTTGATAGGTATCATACTAGCGCAATGTGCACAACATTCTCAGGTTTGAAATCTGCTGTGTTGGTGTAATGTACTCAGGTGAATAAGATGTTTGTGTGATGTTACTCTGAGTGTATATCCACACCGGGCAGGCTTGAAAAATGTGCCTGGCCACGGCGGGATTCGAACCTACGACCTTTGGAATACTAGCCCAATGCTCTTCCAACTGAGCTACGCGGTCAGGACGGTTCGAGTAAGCGATATTTCGGAACTGAGTCTAGTTCCTTCGATATCAATGTAATCTAATATTTATGAAATCTGCTGTGTTGGTGTAATGTACTCAGGTGAATAAGATGTTTGTGTGATGTTACTCTGAGTGTATATCCACACCGGGCAGGCTTGAAAAATATGCCTGGCCACGGCGAGATTCGAACCTACGACCTTTGGAATACTAGCCCAATGCTCTTCCAACTGAGCTACGCGGTCAGGACGGTTCGAGTACTGAAGCGATATTTCGGAACTGAGTCTAGTTCCTTCGATATCAGTGTAATCTAATATTTATGAAATCTGCTGTGTTGGTGTAATGTACTCAGGTGAATAAGATGTTTGTGTGATGTTACTCTGAGTGTATATCCACACCGGGCAGGCTTGAAAAATATGCCTGGCCACGGCTGGAGTCGAACCTACGACCTTTGGAATACTAGCCCAATGCTCTTCCAACTGAGCTACGCGGTCAGGACGGTTCGAGTAAGCGATATTTCGGAACTGAGCGTTGGGCTAGTATTCCAAAGGTCGTAGGTTCGAATCCCGCCGTGGCCAGGCATATTTTTCAAGCCTGCCCGGTGTGGATATACACTCAGAGTAACATCACACAAACATCTTATTCACCTGAGTACATTACACCAACACAGCAGATTTGATAGAATATACTAGTTTACTCACTAGACGAAAATCCATAATGTACTGTCTCGACCAACCAGCAAGCCTGGTTTTAAGAGTTTCGACACATACGTACGTTTGTTTTGGAACGTCATGTGATGATCGTATACGTTTAGCTGACGAAAATTTATAATTTTTCGTCTCGACCAATAAGCAAGCGAGTTTAAGCGCGTTTGTCGTTCAGTTAATGAGGCTATTCGTACGCTTTCGTTCAGTTGTGCATGTTAACTGATAGAACTGGTCATTAACAATTTTTGCTGGTTTAGTGTTTTAAATTATTTGTTTCCTAAAATTCGCTACTTAAAAGCCACTGAATTACGTCATTATGTACCAAACAACATATTAGCGTCTATGTACAAAGAGGAGCAGAGAGGCTGCATGTAAAATATTCTAGAAATCAGGGTACGTATATATATATATACATATATATACGTATCGAGCCGAAGGCGAGCGGCTATAGGCACCGATAAAGCGCAATCACGAGGTTTATAAATCACTTCTAAAATTCATGATCACCTTTTGTTTTGGGTCCCAATGAAATAATAAGAAATGTTAACTACAATAGTTCTATTGTTTTACGATTCTTTCCTTCATTGATCAGCAAGCAAATTAATGACTGGATTAATTATCAAGTCATACAAGTCGTTAAACGGAGTTTTCAAATGGAAATTTGAACATTTGACTAGTGTCGTTAAGGAGCCGGTTTCGAAGCGCTCGAAGTGCTGAAGAGGAGCAAACGTTGCTCGAAAGAGCGATGCTTCCAAGTACAAGATACGCGACAAAGTGGGCTTTGAAGATTTTTGATTCCTGGAGAGCCGCTAGAAAGGTTAAAGAAGTGAAGATCGACGATGCTGAGGTCATGAAGCTGATGTTATTGGCCCAATCCAGACATTAACTACATCGCTGGCGGAGATGAATGAATTTAGCATTTTGGTTAAGCAAGTTTGTTGGGTTTAAAGAGTTTAAAGTGGTGTGTAATCAAAATGAAAGAAAGGGTTGTTAATCCCGTGTTTAACAATTGCAACATTACCTTTAACTTTGGAAAATAAAGTATTTATTGATTTCTCGAATATTTGAGTTTTATTAGGAACAGATTAATAAACATTTTGTTAAAGAATGCTTTATAAAGGTACATGTACACACCGATCTATATCACGGTATATAAGGGTCATCATGTGACGAGATTTTAAGAAATTCATGAATTTTAGAACTCCTTCAAGCTATGCGGCAGTCGGCTTTCTGAAAAATGTATTCCCTATACCCGTCATCTTTAGTAAACAAATCCGATGAACGATTTCTTGAAATGACGTTTTCGTTTTACAGGTGATGCAACTGGGAGAAGTATAGCAAGCGAATTATGCTGTGAGGTGATGTATATTTACAGACTTTCTTACATACTTGTATTATACTGCACATTTGCTGTGCACCCTGTGCATCAAACATGGTTTGAACTGTGGCACCTATATTTCTTTTTGTCACCCATAACCGTTCTGTCATCCATAACCGTTCTCGCCTTATTCTGGATCTAACCCTGATGCTCAAGATTCTTTTTTTACACCATCACTTATCAGAATTCTCACTTCAACAGGATAGTAAAATAATGGAACATGCAGTGTT